TTTCCTCTTCAGTCAAAAGCTTTGCTATGTATAATACTGGAGAGAGCAAAACCGACAAATTTCGTTTTTTTTTTCGAAATGAAGTTCTTGGTGTAACTTGATACACTGCATCTTATTGCGTTTGCGACGGTTGTTTTTAAACCTTAATACTTTAAAGAAGGGGCAACAATTTACCGCGTCGCCGTGGGAAAATATATATAAAAAAATCTTTTTACATGATCATTTTTTTTGTGCCTTTTTTTCCCCCTTCTTTGGTCCATCGTTTCAAAATGATACCTCTGTTACAGAGAGAAAAAACAGTAATTATCGAAACTCAAAAGAATAAAGTAAAGACTGTAACGAAAGCTGACTCGATCTGGTTTGGAGAAAGAGACAAAAAGGTATTCAAATCTCTAAGCTACGCTAGGAAGGAATTTTTTCTTTAAAAAAAGGAAAAAAAATTATCTACCTCGGCCGTTAATTAGAACGTTTAGAACAATAGTTCTGAACACGCGCGTTTAACTTATTTTTTTTGTCAATGTCTTAACGAATGAAAGGAGAAAATTCGTAGAACACTGAATTCCTTTCTCGGAATAGGGGAAATAAGATAACGTCTGAGTGTGTCTGGAGTATTCTATCTTATTTTGCTTTTGCTTGCTTGCTTATATTATTATCCATTGTGCAGAAGAGCTTTTAAAGCTACATCATAGCACGTATCTATTGGCAAAGTAGAATCGCATCTTCAAAGAGGCAGTGCAAATTTACGAAAAAAAAAATTACCAGAGTTGCGAGCATTGTTTGTGCTTAGTAGAAAGGACATTGCCCCACCAAACTGTAGTTGGCAAACGAAGGTTTTACTTTTAAATTGAACTTTTTTAATTTTTATTGGAGGCTTTGAAATAGTTTTTTTTTTTCGATTGTTTCCATCCATTCTGTCATGGCTATCATCTCTCGCTTCCCTCCATTGTGTGTAAATCCTTAGTTTTAGCAATCGTCCTCTGGCCGGTGCTTTGCCTGTTAAATCCTTTTGTGCAGATCTTATGTTCTCTTGTTTCTTTAATCTAATCATTGATCTCCAATTCTTGTGTTCATTCTTGTTGGGCTTTGTTGTTTGACCTCATATTGTGCCCCTTTAATCATTGACACCATAAACATCCTGGTCGCTGGCTTTTAACGAAGGTCTCCGTCTTACCCGCGACGCGTTAACTCTCATAGCTATTTCTCCTAAAAATTGTCAGTGAATTAGCACGAAAAGCCGACAAAACACGCCAGGTAAATAAGTGAATTATCCACTCACAGGGAAGTGAATTATTCACGTAAAGTGCGGTATTGTGTCAAGTGATGATGACACGTGCGAGTGAATACAATGAAAGTCAGAGCAAATTCTTTTCAAGGCAAGTTTACTTTACACATTTCCGAACAAAATAAAATCTGTTCACTAGAACACTTCCCTAAACAAACACAGGGACATATGGCTATATTTTGTAATAAAACGTTCATGTTCAACTGTCGAATTCGTGAAAATTAACTTATAGTCAAACACAACTATTGAGAATTACGAACAAACATTTCTTTGGTTTTTCTTCTTTCTTTTTGGCAATGAATAAAACATGTTTGAGGAAGTGTAGATTTCTTTAGTATTTTTACTATTCGCTCCATGAAATGAAACAAAGGCTGGAAAGGAACGAAAACAAAAAAATAATAATTATAATAAGAGTATGACATTTGCGCGCACGGAGGGTATGTGATGTTAATATTTCGTACGCGCAGTATTAAATTCTTGGAAGTCAATATGTAAAACAACCTTGAAAGTGAAACACCATAATAATTTATATTGGCTATAGGCACAGGTTAGCTTAGTTGGGTAAATAGCAGTCTGCGTTTTATTTAAATCTGAAGGTAAATATCTTGGTAAAAAAGGAAACGAAAAAGTCTTAATTAAACGAAACACAATTCTCAGTTTTTGAATGTAAAACCGCAAAATGATAAATTTATTGCGTCGAAGGAAAGTGAATCGACTGAAGTTGCACTTGATTTCATGCTTCGTGTTTTGGTGTTGTTACTTTTATCAATATACTGCGTTTTTCAGCCATTAAGAGGGAAAGTTGACCTTTTTCTGTTTCAGATCTTTTTTACAAGGAAAGCTTTACGTTTTGAAGATGACGGCTGGCGGCGCAAGTTAATAATTTAGAGCGACGAACTCGTGCGCAGTAAAGTATTTCATCACTACATTTCACAAGCATTCAATTTCTTCAAGCCGACTTTTGATTTTCAATCATTCAAACAAACCGCGACTTAATTGACATCTGTCAATCTACAAATGCTTAATGTGTTTCTTCGAGGCCTCGTTCTTCTAAATTACTAGAGCTAACAATGCTACGACTCAATTTTTATTTTTATAATTGCCACATTTTGACGATCCTGTTTGATGTATTTTTCTCACGAGATAAGCCGCAAAAAGACAAATTATTTAAGTGCATATCTTGTAATTTTTGCGGGGGTAAGTGATTATGTCAAGACGCAGTTTTGTGGGAGGCGACTTTTTGCCAACGCCTCATTAACTGAATTTCTAGAACTTGACGATTGCGGGAATCTTAATCCATTTCTTGCAATTCTTGCTTTTACGGAGCAGAATGTCTCAGCTTGCCTAATATTTTATTCCTGTTTCATGATAGGACGAGCTATATCATACCCCCGCAAGTCCCGCCCGAGGAAGCATATTTAGTTTTGACTGTAAACCGACCTTGATCTACCAAGTGACAACACAGTGTCCAAATCTACACTTCCATACCAAATATCACAAAACGAAGTCGACTTTCATCGCCTGCTCTTTGCATTTTGTTTCGTGCATATTTGTAAATTATTCATATTCCACTGGATTGAATAGAATTAAAGGAAATCGCTAAATCTTTTGTGCCTCATACTTATTTTATACTCCTGTAAATATATGCATTTGAAGATTACGTATATTGTTATGTTTGAATTATTGTTTTCAAGAAATATTGTCTTCCTATATTTGAAGGACTGAGAAGTTGTACAAAAAAAAAAGAAAGGAAAATACGTTGTCCGCGAACAACGAGGTAATGGGATCTACGCGAATCAATCTTTTCTTTTCATTTCTTAATGATCAAACCGCAGGTCGTGTTTAATCGCGAGATCTTTCCGAGAGATTGATCTACGAACACTTTCGAAATTGTGTCTTTAACGCTTCACGCATTAGCTTGAGAACAAAGAGCATGTCCTTATCTCAGTTTCCTGTGCAAAGCTGTGGAAGCCGATTGTTAACATCTTTCAAAAGTGGATTTTCATTTTAAACCGTTCCTAAGTGAAATTCTTCATTTTCAAAGTCTTTTTGCTCCAATAACATCAATTGGCGCGGGTACTCAAAACAACTAAGATAGCTATAAATTTCTGTAGAATTCTGTGGGTTATGTGCAATTAATTCATTTAGCTATTGGTGCCCGGTCTCCTGATGTTCTGGGACTCTCGCTCTAGCCTCGCTTCTGAATTTTTTACACTTGAGTTTTGATCGCTTGAGTATAAATTGGTGGAAGCCTCTTTTAAATGTTCGGCGCTTTTGCCGGCTGTGTGGCCGCTTAACTGAACCAACAACAAAAAGATCCCCAATCTGACATAAATGAAAATGTAGCGAAATCGCTTTTTTTTATGGAGCCCAGCCATGTTTATTTGGTCAAATTTCAAGTCAATATGTTCCTACACTCAAAACGTATGTTATTGAGTTTTGTTTTCTCGCAGACGTTCCTAATTAAGTTTGCCTGTCTTCTCCGGCTAAATTGTGTAGTTTTCATAACGCACTTAATGTTTCGTGCCAGAGACCCATTTCTGGCGCTTCTTTTCATCTGTGTTCGAAAACCGCGCGCCATAATCTCGTCGCAAATGGGCGAGGATTATTGAATCGGCAACGAAATGGACTCAATTGGAATAAATCGGAAGGGAGGAATTCCCCATTCTCTTCACTAATGCGTGTGAGATTCTTCTCTTTCAAAAAACCGAAAAACACCTGCCACCTCATTAGCATGAAGGAAACTTTCCGAAGCAATTAATTTTCCCCAAACAGAGGCGCGAAACTCTTCTGATGTACTTCCTGAATCTGAAAAAATACTTCACACCGCTTGGTCTAGGAAGGAGTTAATGACGAGCAATGAACCAACACAACAGAGAGGCGCGCTGTCTACGCTGGCCTCGTACATGTTGACGGACAAGCTAAAAAAAAACGGTGGATCAATCTCGAGAGTGTGACGCATGCGTGATAGCTTGGACTAGCAGGTTGAAAATATAAAGTTCGGTGATACGAGGAGATAAGATCTCATATTTTTAACTGCTTGTCTAAATAGTCCATGGAAGCACATCCGTTTCTATATTGAAACTTGCGGCGATGGTGAAATGGATTATTTGCATGAGTGGCACAGGACATACAAACGTGTACACAATGAAATTGTATTAGCGAGCCAATGGTATTGTTTGCCGAAGCGTAATTAGAGCCAGTGATAATTGTGACAGTGGTTTTGTGTGTGGCACGTGTCTCTTTCGATCGGAACACTCGGAAATTGACAACCCACGAGACCAAAACAAATTCTATGCGTAGAGGCTGAGTTGAAAGGGCAGCGGGAAATTATGCACAAACTTCTCGCTGCGCGAAATACTCAAAAATTTGACTTTCTTGACAAAGAGACGAACAACAAAAAATTTAAACTGAAGAATCGAGGGTTTTATTGCGCCGTATTCTAAAACTAGCGGTACCATCCAATCTTGATATAGGGGTAGCTTATTGCTTCCGACGTTTAAGTGAAGTATTTTAACCTCTCTTTTGACGAATTTCCAATTTACATGAATGCTTAATTTTTGTTCCGCAGATCGAGTACTGCTTAGAAATGTAAATGACCGGTTTCCTTTTGAGCGACTCAGTCGTTTTCAATAAATAATTAATTCTTTGTGGCAATAGTTGCTTCAACCCACGAAGAATATTTTCCCAGAGAAAGATAGAACGAAAACTGTTCTTATTTTAATAGATATTTTTATTCACGTTTTGCTGACCCATCAACGATTTTAATTTCTTTCAGTGTCTTCTTATCTCGTTGAAGGAAAATTTTTCTGAGAAGAAAAATAATTTACAGGCAGAATATAAGAGAATAAGATCAATTTGATTTATTTTACATATATATAGATATATATATGTCTCTCTTTCTCTCTGTTTCTTTTTTTTTCTACAAAATTCGCTGTTTCTTTCAAAAGGAAATAATTTATTCGGCAATCCAACAAGAAGCTAAGATAAGCGGGAAGTGTTTGACAGCTCATCTTGTCTGTAGATGTTAAATTGCGCTTGAAGGCCGCGTATAAATAATTATATTTTGAATTTTCGTCTTGACCATTTTGGGCTGTCTATTCTGTTTATTGAAGAACCAAATTTCTCCCTGGCGGCTGTTAGATAAGTCCGCGTCGCAAACATGAAATTGTTCTCGGATCCTTTTGCGGAAAACGTCTTTTCCCCATTTTCGTTTGCGTCCAATTTGGCTTCATCGCGCTTGTTGCCACTAGCTTGTGGCTCATTCAGTGAGTTTTTACCAGTTGTTTATGCTCATCTAGCGAAGCGTCTTTCGTCGCAAAATTTCGATCATGTTTGAGCGCTTTCCCGTCAGAACGATGTTGGCACGTTCGACGCCGTCCGCACTCTTGGCTGACCACAGGCGAAAACCGTCTTGCCAAATTCATTTTTGTACTCCTCTTCGGTTTTCTAAAGGACAAAAGACAGACAACAAGGTGGAGTTAGAGCTTGTAAGAAAATTATTCAAAACGAATCCAGTCAAAATGACTGGACGCGCTCTTATAAAATAAATTTTCATATACTACATGGGCGTTACCCAAGTAAAGGACATCTTCTCCAACACGATCAGATATATGTGCTTATTCGCTGCTATTTTACGTTGCTTTCTTGTGAGGAATTAAAAAATATGCCGAACAAACAGTGCAGTAACAGACTAACAAACCCATCTGGTTCGGGGCGGAAAGCTCTCCCTGCTTGAACTTCCTGAGTAGAGATGTCGCTCGTTTGTCAAGAGAAAAAATAGTTTAAAATACTGAATACACTCTGTATCCCCCGAAGAATTCGCGGTAAATATTCAGAATAAGCTTAGCATATTACAGGTGTAAATATAAAAGGTACAAGATTTTAAAACTCTATCCATGAAATTGACTGATACAGAAACAAGTGCTAGGTGATTCGGTGCGATGCCAAATAATTTTAACGATGCCGAATCGAGGCGAATTACACCAGACGACGGCTAAGTTAAACTAACACCGCATCAACTGCTGACGAAATCTACGGTATCTTAGGCACAAAATCGCGCCTGAAAAGAAGCCATAGTCTGAAAATATGCGCTAAAGAACCTGTTGTATCCATTTTAACAACAGATCGTCGGCAAGCGCGCTTTTCAGATGCGATGCGAGCGGCGCGTTTGGCCGAGTTGTAGTACGCGTACGTAGAGTTGATCATTGACTGGCCTCAGTGATGCACTGATTGTAGTACTTACAAAGTCAGACGCGGTTATCCAACTCTGGGTTTGTGGACCAGCTGCTTCATGTTCAGCTTCCATTTGATGTTTATTGGCCATCGCTAGAACGTGTTGCAGGTGCCGAATGTAGTCGATTGCGCTACGCAGCGTTTTAACTTTGGACAATTTCTTGTTTTTAGGGTCCGTAGGCACGTGTTTTCGCAGCCGCATGAAACCGTCGTTGACCAGTTTAACGCGCTTTCGCTCCCTCGCGTTCCGTCGCGCTACCACGGCCGGTTCTTTTTGCTTGGCACTAGTAGCTGCTCTTCGTCGGCGGGTTTGGCCCAGTACAGGTGACAACAGCGATAGTTTAGCTGGGGGCCGCAAAACATCCGAACCACCTTCCTCAGTTCTTTGATGCGGATAGCAAATAGTCGTGGTTGGGATTGTAAAAGCTGAACTTTTTGGCATATCCTTCACAGACATTGTTTATGCCGGCTTCTCGCCCAATACAATGCAGTGTTGAGTCGAGCTAGCGCCGTGCGCACTTCAATTTATACTCGGAGATATTCTGACCTTGTGCCAGGCTCGCGCCGTATGTTTGTTGTGCTAATTCAGTCAAGCGCCCTGACACGCGCCATGTCAAACGGATTACTTTAATACCATTGGCTGGTGGCGCAAGACAATGACCAATGGCAGCGCGCGAAAGACACTCGAATGGTTTTCCGCGCGCCAAAGGCCGATTATGTTGTTATCTTTAGCGCACAGAGAGTTGAATATCATTTCCTTGATTATCGACCGTGGCCATATTCAATACATTGAATTTACAGCGGGGTATTACCACCTTGTTTTAAAACCTCGGTGAAAATATTACCGACATTTGGACATGACCTGTATTCTCCCAGAATCAATTCGGCGAGGCGCAATTTTCTCCGATAATGGGTCTTCTATTATGTTCGTTATTAATTAATGCTTTTCAGAAATGACAAAGATATGACAGGACAAATAAAAATTGCTAGTACAAGAAGAAAAAAACACAAAAACTTTTTTCAGAACATGATGTGAAAATTGGACAGTGCGTCATGTAAATTACAGTCACCGAAAGTTATTTTGCCCCAAGGCGCCTTTAACTTTTCTCAGTTTAGGCCGAAAATTATCTTGGAGGGTTTTAACTCGCTATATCGGCGCCAATATTCGACGATTTCGAATTTTTGCCATTATGTTTTTGATCCGATGTTTTTTATTAACGAGCAAAGGAAAACACTCATTGATGAGAAGCAGTTTTCATTTACAGACCTTAGCTGAGAGATCAATTTTGCTCTGTATGAGTTTTCTAATTGTTGGCGCCATCTGCTGCCAAAGAAGGCAAGACACGTGCCCTCAATAATTCATACTAACTGGGTTCTGTTGGTCAAGAGGCTGTACTGCGCACGCGCCGTGCATAGATGAGTTACACCTGGCATACTAAGCAACGATTCTGGTGAAGTTATTGAGATCAAGGTCGTTTCTATCAAGCTACGCTTGAAATTCAATTAACTGAAACCGTGCTGCACAGGGGAAGCTCTCAAGATCTCACTCTCGGTTAATGTTAACGGGCATTCTGAAACTACGTTTTCTTCTCTTTTTGTTGGCGGGCTATGTTATTGACAATGGCCATTGATCGAGGAAAAAAACAAAACAATCTCTCTTTTATCCAGAATAATAGAAAAATTCGCCATGCTTAGTCATCAATAGACCGATTAATTATTGGTTTTGTTTCGCGCCTGTTTCGCTCTCATCCAGACAAGTGAATGTTTGGGTTTTGGTCCTGTTTTGCGTTTAAAGCTTAACAGAAAAACTCCGCCCAGGACTTAAGTTTGAGGTAACGCAGAGCACCACGTGACTTAGCTTGAATTTTATACGCCGCTTGGAGATCAAAACAGCTTGAGAAGGAAATAAAGGAAACAGTGTGTGATAAGGGTGTTTGGTTTATGATTTAACGCTCGATGTCTCACATTCGGGAAATAACCTCTTTTCAGGTGTCGCCACACGCTTCACGAGAAGAGTCCCGGACCGCTATACTGAGCGTTATGTTGGTGTAAATGCCCTTAAGATACCTGTTGAGCACGTTTGATCTTGTACGATATTGAACGAGTTATTTGAAGAACCGGTTTTTCAAACCCCTTAAACCCCTCTCTGGACAAGTCCATTAAGATGCTATCGTGAAGTTAATTAGACAAGTACACAAATAAGGCAAGACGCCTATTTTGTCCTGATCTAAATTTTGCCCCAAATAATGAAAAGCGTTTTCGATTGTACCCTGTTTATATAAAGGGAAAATTAAAGTTGCTTTTGAATAATTCAGGGTTAATTTCAAACATTTAATATAGGAACATAGACCTGCCAACGCTCAAGTGGAATAATTTTCATGTCGGGCCCATCAGTTTTACCACTTCTTTAATAACTGAGGCCATAAAAAAAGTCTTAAGGACCAGTTGGGCGGTTTGCTTCAATAAAGGCTTCATTTTGACAATTTACATAACACGACCACCAGTCGTTATTGACGTTTACCTGCGTCGCAAAGTGTGTCAATGATTGTCATTGTGTTCAAATATCGGTCTTGCGAGGGTACCTCGAGAGTTTTCCATCTTTGTTTGATTGATAACAACAAGATCTGCGCAAAACGAAAACAAAAATGGTTACGTTCCTAACTTATTCCATTTTGCCATATGCTCGGTGTAATTTGCATTAGTTGTTTGTGGGTGAGTGTCGGTTGTCTTTTTCGCCCACGCTTTTACGTTTTTTTTTCGTTTAATGGCGTTTTTTTCCCTTTTACCTGCCCTGGTGATATATTGGTCATTTGCCCTTTAGTCTCTTTACGCTGGCGCTTGTGTCAATAGAACTCACTTAATATGTTATGCAGTCGTAAAGTGTAAAAGGAAGACTTTCTATTTTTCAGCTGTCAATTAACAAGATGCATCCAGAAAAAATTAATGATATGGACATATAGTGAACTTATTGCGGCAAAAACAGCTTGTGTTTCCTCGATTTTCTAGTTTGATAGTTATTAACGTGTCACACAGTTCATGCAAAGTTGGTGATCATTTTGAAAACCTGAAGGGAAATGTGTTGTTTAACTAAAGGAAAAAACTACTTGCACAGCAAAATTAGAATTTTCTTAATAGCACAATGTGGCTCAAATATCATTATTTGCTTTTTCCCCACCTGCTTAGAACCCCTCAGAATCCTAAGAGTGATCTAGATGTATTTTCGCATTACTGTATCAATACATTTTCAAGCTGGCTAGTGATAAGAATATATAAAATTATCAGCTAGAAAAATACTGACTTGTTTTTTTTGCCACATTCTCAGAACTGAAAAAAAAAAAGTTCGGCAATTAGTAAAAAAACTGAGCTTATGTTTCGAGCTTTACTTAAAAAAAAAATCGATTTACTTCCATGAATATCATTGATTGTCTTAAAAGGGGAAAATGCTATCAAATGGTAAGTGTTTACAAACCTTAGTGGACATCATTTTCCGCCTTCTCAACTAGCCGAGGTCGATGTCTGGCTGCATAACTCTTTCACCTTAAAGAAATTTTGCATCCAAATCCCCATTACCGTACTCATACTTTTCCTACAATTTAACTGAATCTGTTTCAAAATCGAAACATTTTTGCCGATACCTTCAGAGTGTACCGTATGGTGCATTATGCCAATCACTGTGTTTGTGGCACTAAAATGGTCTTGAAAAGATCTAAATGGAAGTATTAAATTGTACCTAGCACCAATCACTCACTCACTCATTTTTTTCGCTCCTGTCAGTGGAACATGAGGCTACAACCTCGCGCCACTATGTGATGAGAATTCTACCTGAATTGAGCCTGACGCTGAGGTCCAGTGTATGGGACATGCTTTACGGTATATAGTCGGAGGAATATAACTTGCGACACCTTTAACATTGCAGTTCTGAGGAAGGTGGACAGAAGCCACCGAGATTCATAACAGAAAAAAAAAAGATTTCAAAGACCTTAAAGATGTCTATCATCGATTGCAACACTGGAAGTAGCATGGTTTTATATATTTAGTACCTTTGTATCTTTTTACGTCCCATTTGATAGCTATAACCTTGTTCAGTTTTGATAAATACCTTTCTACTGATTTATCATACAGTGGGCACCGGGTTATAATTTTTATCAATTTACGAAAACAGGAAAAGGGCCATTTGTGGTAGAATTGAACAGAATAAAAGGTAAATGAGAACTATAACATAACTACTGTACACCTGGGATTTGGGGGATGGTGGACAAGGAGCTAGAAGGCGGAAGTCAAGTGAGATGTTGTAAAACTTATCGACTAGAAGCTTCATTCGGGTTCCAGCTTTTTGTTATGGATCAAGGCCCTGTTAACTGAAGACGGACCTTGTTTGTTTGGTTTATGAAACATTTTCACTGCGGTGTGAGAACTAGCTATCCAAGATTCCAGTCAAACATTCTGCAACATTTTTTATTTTTAAACAGCTCACAGAGACGCCAATGAACGATGATTTTAACAGTCTCAGATATTTTTCGACCGTTTTTTAATTCGCCTGGTGGCTAACAGCTAACAGCCAATCAAAAGTCCACACTACAAATATCATTCACCTGTCAGGTTTTCAGACTTACTCTCATTTCCGATCCGTTCAACTCATCAAGTCCTAAACTCTGACTCGCGCGAGAAGGTAACGTTGTTAGTCAACAACCACGAAACTCCTCCCGGATGAATTGATTTTACCGGCATTGTTGTAGTCTCGAGCTCCTTTTCAGGTAAGGCTGATTAGTTGCACCTTCACACAGACTTGACCATATACATGTGTCGACAGTCACTACGCAGACCTATCGCAGCTCCTATCGTTCTTGCATTGTTTTAGAAGCCATCAAATGCGGGTTACGCCTTCAGGGGCCCGTTTCTGGAAGATCCCGAATAGTTTTCGCGGAAAGCCGTAGCAAAATCTCAAACCTTATGATTACATAGCTGTTTTATTTGAATATTCTTAAGACGACCAGAAGTTCCCTTCAGACAAGAAGTTTCAGGCGTATACACGTTTCTGTTTTAGATACAGATGAACTAAAAATGGCTTTGCAGGCCCGAAAAGTTTCCGGGGCTTTCGAGAAACAGGCCCCTCGACTCATGAGGCCATGAATTACTGTATAAGTGAAAGAGGAGTTTTTTTCTCCATTTCACCGCTTAGTTTACAGTGGAACTAGGATCGGCCCAATTTTTAGCGAGAAATTTTTCTGAATCATTACGGATTGCGTGTTCTCTCCAATCATTCGTGCTGCAACCCTTAAGTTTATCTTTGACTAATCATAAAGACACCGATAAGAGAGCCTGTTGACTCCCTTCAGGCTGCTTAAAACTAAAGGAAAGAAGGCATATTGATCGATAAGATCGGAGCCTATCAGCCTATTTCTTCTTTTGACTCAGTGCAGATATAGAAAGCGTGGGTCACCTGTGATAACCGATATTAACAGGGCGAAGTAATTTGCAGTTAATGGTGCTTTTAGCCATGCGTTTGCGTTAATTTGATACCTTGACATTGGAACAGAAGAGTGAAGTAGGGACCTGTTTTAGCCAAGCAACACACAAATTCTAAAGGCAAATATCAGTGATGACCTTTGAGACATCATTAAGTTGATTATGTGAAAAACACCTAAGTTCATCTGATTCTCCCCCTTGTATGTTGCTCGGCTCGTGGTAGTGTGCGTAGTGTGCGTACACAGGTGCTCGACGGGTCTTCCGACCAACAATCATATTGAAATCTCTATTCTAGCAGCTTGCGTTCTGAAACAATGAATGATATTGTTTTCAGTGTCAAATTAACAGTTGCCTGAAGAATTACGTGGTCTCGCTGACTAGTTATTTAGCTTTCATTATAAAATGCTGCTCTTTCAGTATAAGTACGCGTTGATGACCGTGTAATCGCACGTGTAGGGACGCCGTCTCTTAGCATCGCAGGAGAAAAAGAAACGGCCTTTAAAACCTCGTCAAATTTACTTCCTGTATTCTTAACCCTTTTTCAATGGTTTTTGTTCAAGATTATATTTATAGGAATTCCAGAATGACTTATATTGTCTTCAGTGTTAAGGCTAACAATTGTTTTAAAAGAATTATGGATAATTTCGCCCACCTAACCAGTTGTTTATTCGTGATTATGACCTGTTCTTACTTTCCAACACGTTTCAGGTACACAGCAATTACTGCCACGCTCATTGTCCCATAATCGCTCATCGAGACTCGTGTAACCTGCGGTTTTCTTGTGTATTTAGAGTTTTTTTTTTTTCATTTTCATCACAAGCCGCGAGTAATTTTCTCGAGATACCTACTTCACTTGTTTCAAAATTAAAAGTCGTTATTGGCTGTTAATGTTAATGTAAACGTAATTCAAGAAGAAATTCTGAATAGTTCAGGCTTCAGGAGCCGTTAACCCAATAAGTGAACTCGAAACTTGTTTGAACGTAAAGTTGTTTTGTAGTGAAGTTCTCACCTTAATCCGTTAATTGGCGTGCGTTGTCCGGTCCGGTCCATGTATTCTCTGTTTACGAAATCAACTCATTCAGTTAAACACACAGGTGACGAGAGAAAAGACCTGAAATAATCAGCTAGGCCTACCAACTTGATGTTCCTTCAAATTCTCAGAACTGCTCCAAAGAAATAATTCAGAGTTAGTAATAAGAATTAGTATTTTTAGTTGGATATTAATTTCATTCTCAGCGAGGCATGATTTAGCAATGCTACCGATTCATAGTAACACCTCTGGTTCAAGGCCACTGAAAAGTTTCTACGACAAATAAAAGATCACACTCTTTTCATTAATCTCCTCCATCCCGTTTTTAATTGCAGCTCCTTGTTAAGTGAGCGACGCGTTAATTAATTCTTGGTTACAACTTTAAGCTTGGCGTCTTTCAAAAGTTGTGCTTTAAAGTTAACACCGTAACTGACCTAAATACATGGCCTCCAGCGGTGACATCAAGTGGTAGGCTTAAAATAACCTCCAATCCTTTGTTGCTATAGTCAGAGAGTTCTTCTTTTTTTTCTTTTTACCATAATACCATGTTGTTGCATTGCTTGTGGCTTTTGTTAATAGACACCTATTGTAAATAACAGTGTTTTCCGTGTTGCCAAAATCATAATTTGTACTTTTCTTGAAGATTTCACCTCGCACTTCTTAGTAATCAATATTTTAAAGGTTTCTACACTTCTCGATGATTAACAGGAGGAAGCAGTTAACGATGGTACACGTGTCATCGCCGGCTAAATCCGGCGCAGGTTAATTACGTTTCATCGCATTTAAAGCGCAGTTCGATCGAGTTAACATCACCACACTTTGGTGTTGTTTTCATCACATCTCGTTCAGACTGGCCCACAGTCTCGTACCGTTCTCACCATAAGCGTACATCAGTTTGATATTTCTGCTCCAAGGTTAGTATTTGGCATGTTTACACGGGCATGCAATAATAGCTGAAGTGTTTGAAACAGACTCTCTCAGGTCCTCCTGCGGCCTTTTCTTTTCGCCCTATCCCTCATCAGCAGGGTATCGACCACGCCCCAAATTAAACGTGAAATTTCCTCGTTATTATCTCGTCTTCCACCACTTCCTCTACAACCGTCACAACGCAACCAGCTTAAGCTGCTTTGGTTTGTTTTCACCTTGTGATCTGCATTGTTACTGAATTACGTCCCTTACTCTGTAAAGAAACGATTTCGAAACACATGAAACAAGAACTATTAGTATTGGAAACCGACGTTTCGGGGCATCTTGCGCCATTATCAAGGTTACATAATTAAAGATAAATAGCGGTTTGTGATGAGGCTAAGTTGAAGCGAATTTGCATAAGAGAGTGCCAAGCTAATTACATGAATACTTTAGCACGAAGAGAATCAGACTGTACATTCAGTGCTGGGTTAAGATCTTGAATACAAAGCATTTCATTAACAAGGCAGTCAAATTTGTCCGTGAATTTCTTGATTACACTTAAGCGTGCTAAGAAATTGGTCGGAACAGCACTGTTATGTTCTTTGGAATAATGTTTGTAAATAGATGACGCCTTTTGACGGTGTCCCTCAACTCGTGTGTGAAGGTGGCCCTTTGTGTACCCAACATAACCTGCATTATGTAACCTTGATAATGGCGCAAGATGCACCGAAACGTCGGTTTCTATCACATATTTCTTGTTTCATGTACTCTGTAAAGCTTGTATTTATTTTTAATTTCGTTGCGTTATCTGCGGTGGACTGCCGAGATATATCACGCATGTTGATAACTTATCTTGACCGATTTTTGGTTTTATTGGCACGAGCCTATATCCTTGTGTGTTGATTGAACGTTTGACTCTCCCGTTTCAGTGGGCAGCAAAAATTAGCCGATTCCTTTGATTTTTCATTCTAAATGAGGAGTGCTGGGATTTAAGAGTTTTGGTATATGTGCGGAAAAAAATATGCTTACGTTATGCAACCAGGAAGCTTATTGAAAAGTGAGATCTACTCACTCAGTTTAACATTCTAAAAGCCTCCGACCAAAAGGGGTTTAAACACAAGATTGTCAATTTAGTGATTTCTTGGTATTACCAAATAATTTTTAGCCATGTTTCTCCGATTAACTAAGACGTGTTATCTACCTTCAGTACGAAACTAAACGTCCAGTTTCCTGGGTCACTTCGAAGTCTTGGTCGTCTTCTGTTTTCTGTTGTTCAAGTGAAAAATGTTCCTGAAAGCGAACTGACACCTAGATCTTCACTGTAGAGAAATGTAACTAACTATCCCTTGTTTGCAAGCTCTACCTGCCCCAACAAGTGTGTATGGGTTGTAACCTGAATAAACAAGAGAGATGAGAAACGTTTGTCGCTAAAATGGCAAAGAGAAGTTAAAAAATGCCACAAATTTCCCAAATTGGTGTTTCGCATTTAGACGTTTCATTTAGGTTTTGAGTGCATAGTTGCAATTTTGATAACGTTTAGTTGGACATAAAGCATTTTGGTTGCAATTAAAGAATTTTTTAAAGGGGGCTTAATTAGGGAGAGTGGGTGAAGAGAGAGGGTAGGAATTTGCTTGCTATGAAAAGAAGATAAAAAGGTTAAGACCTAACCGGAAGTAATGGGAACAAGCAAACGTTATATTATGCTGGATATTTGAATAACCATGCAGCTGTGTCGTTATCTAGTTTGAATGACGAAGGAAGTAAGGAGGTATATCATGTGGGGTTAAAATTTATAAAGTCAAAGTAACTGGCGGAAGATTGATGAGTCTGTAACAAAGGGAGGAGGATTTTGCTTCAATTTTAACGTTCTTTTCTTTCGTTTCTACCAAAGCAGTTCTTTTGTAAGGTGTTTCTTAGTTAATTGCATTGCTAAACTTTCCTTGTTCCCCACGTGCCTTAACCGGGACTTTCGTCGGTCTTTGGCTTTGCCCTCTGCCCGAGGTCACCATGCAAAGAAGCGAGATCAAAACATTAGATTATTGCCTCCAAAACTAACCATTCCACCAGGTTGAACTGGACAAATATATTTGTCGTGTCCAACTGTAATCACGCTGATGAGTAAATAAATTTGACTTCAGTCAAACCTCTCGTAAGCGACCACCCGAAATTCCAAGCCTGGTCGAGAGCTTAGACCATATTGGGTCAAAATTTTGCCTCCTTAGCACATGTTAACTGCAAAGACTTTCCCCATATTTTAAATGTTTTTATTCATGCGAAAAGTCAATTTTGAGAAAAAATCCGGTACTTCCCACTGAGAAATTTCCGTCTCTTGTACTTCCCAGGAATGCG